CAGTCTGTGGGCACAACGCCAGGGCTCTCCTGCCCCTTCCTGCAGGGCCAGGTGGCAGCAGGAGCAAAACGCCCTCACACCTAACTCCGTGTTGAGCCCTCCGCCCCAGACTCGGTTCACTCCCAAGGCCAGGACCAGCTGCCCTGCCCGTGTCAGCCCCCTGCTCACCCCTCAACCCAGGAAGCTGGCTGTGTGCCCAGGATTCGTGGCTGCAAGGATCCAGTACTACAATGCTCAGCTGGGGGAGGCTCACCTCCCAAAGCCGATGGCCAGGCCACATCCCGCCCGGCATCGCCAGGCGCTGGCGGGACAAGAGGGGGCCGTGCCGGAACGTCGCCAGAGCAAAGCCACTAACAAGAGCCCCAGGCCAGGCCGGAGGGTGAAGATGCAAGGGCCAGAGCCAGTGCGCTGCTGGACAGCTGGAGGCCACCTGGGACTGGAGGCCCCGGGATGCGTGGAGAGAGTGAGTGACCTCCTTGTGGCATGGCAAGTCGCTGTGCAACCCTGAGCGGGCAGCTGAGTCCTTCCCCCTTCGCCGGGTGCCTGGGGGAGCATGGATCCCCTGCAAGAGCCAGCGGCCAGTCGCTGACATGGAACACATGGGAGATGATGTGCAGGGAGCTCACTGCTCCCCGAGTCCGCACCGAGCTCCCTGCAGGCCCCCCCCATGCCGCCTTGCTGGGGCTCTCCCTGCCTCTGCTGCATCCTCATCACCTGCCCTCGCCCCTGCCACGTCACTGGCGCTCCCCTCGCACCTAGTAGGGAATGTGCGTGGGCGGGGGGCAGAGCACTGGGTAGAGGGGAGCAGGCTGCCCAGTGCTGGGGGGCGGCGGGCGGCTGCCCCAGTGACAGACCTGTGCACTGGCAAGCAGCAGCCCTCCCTGATCCCTGGGTGAGGGGGTGGGGTTTGGATCTTAGTTCCTGTGTGTGCCAGTCATATGCACCATGGGGTTTCCGCCAGCGGGCGGCCGGATGGACAGGGTGCCTCGGCGTGTCCAGCTTGTCCCGAAGGCTGGGAAATTCCAGTGGGGGCTGCTCCACGCATGCTGCCCAGGTGTGGCTCTCCACCTTCCTCTCACAGTCCTTGCAGCAGCTGAGAAGCTGCTAGGCCAAGAGTGCTGCGGTCACGGGGCGCCCCGGCCTGGCTGCCCAGGGGCCATTCTAGAGCAAGACAGGACAGAGCTCCGCGCCTGCTGCGACTGCAGGCCCAGGCCTGTACCTCGCTCACTGGGCGGCTGCTCTCCCTGCAGCAGAGGCTTCTCCTGCCAGGCAGGTGTCCCTCCCCTGGCTCGCAGGCTGATTGACGGGGTGTGGCTGTCAGACGCAGCCCCGGCCCCTGCAGTGCATGCTCGGAGCGGGGGGGGGGGAGCTTTCTGCGTGGGGTCGGGCTGTTGGTGAGACTCGCGCTGTGGACCTGAGGCTGGATCATTTGCCCTTCAGGGCCTCTCCCATTCTGCCTCAGTGCTCAGGAGGGAGCCCTGGTCCCCGGAGGGGATTATCTCCTGTGCTGCCCGGCCCTCTGCGTGGACTGGGCTGCCCCCACCCCACTCCACTGGGCATGAAGGAAAAGCCCCTGAGCATCAGCATGGCCCTTGGCTGGCTCATGGCCGGGAAGAGCTGGCCCCCCCTGTGTTCTGGGAGTGAGAGGGACGTGGCTGTCCTATCTGTGTGCCCCATGGACGTGGGCTTCCAGGTGAGTGGCCGGGGCGGCAGGCGGGCAGGGAGCTGCTGCTGGGTATCTGCTTGGATTTCAGCAGAGGGTACAGGGATCCCAGCGGAGAGCCAGACGCAGAAGCAGCGGGAACCCTGCCCTGTGCTCAGGGCCTGCCAGGAGGGAGGGTGGGCTCCTGGGTAAGGCACAGGAGTGGGACTCAGCACATCTGGGTTACTTAGTCTGTAAGGTCTTTGGGGCAGGATCTCTGTGTGTACCGCACCTGCGCCAGCCTTAGCACAAAACAAACAATTCTTCCTCAGCTCCCCAGCGGGGTTGTGGGGATGGGGCCGGCTGAGGACAGCGTGTGCATGTCTGCCCCAGGAAGGGGAGGAAATGCAGCCAGCTGTCGTCTTTGCCCCCCAGAGACCCTGCAGGAGCCTGGCTGTGGCGTAGCGGCAGGGCTCTGCTGAGCGGTGCCCCTTGCTGGGCGTGTATTGGCCAGGCACACGCAGGGCTGGCTGCAGTGGCACATAACAGGGAGAGCCGCCTCAATGGGCAGGGCCATGGTTTGAATGCCCCGAGCCGAGCGGGGGTTGGCTCGTGTGCAGAGCTCTGCCCTGGGTCTGTGTGAGGGGCGGATCTAGGGCTTGGCTGGGCCTGTGTCTGAGTGAGGGGCAATGGGAGTGTGGCCGGGGCACACAGCAGGGCTTGTGCAGTTACCACAGATGGGCAGCCTGGCCCCAGGGGTGAACTGACCCCCACCTCCCAGCATCAGACGTAGCAGGGCTGGCCCGGCAGGGACTGCAGGCAGATGGGCGCTGCAAGAAACCAGCAGAGGGGTGGGCGGACGGTGGCTTTGCAGGGAGAGTTGGAGGAGGATAGAGACGCCTGTGTACTTGAGGGAGCTGCAGGTCTAGCTTGGGGGTCCAGCTGCTGGAAGGGAGGTGGCTGGGACCAGAAGGAGCCTGACGTGCACTGGGTTGATCTGAGCTGGCTGAGGCTGCCCAGCTGGGCTTCCTGTCTGACCACTCCCCTGGCCCCGTGTCTCACACCTGGCCTGCAGCCTGCCAGAGCGTTGCCATCTCCGCGGTGCTGTGCCCGGGGAGTGACGGCGAGCTCTGGGTATCTCCCTCGGGCCCGGAAGGCAGCTGGGAGTCTGGTGCCCCAGTCAGTGCTTCGCTGTCAGCTGTTGCTCTGCACTCGGAGGGGCAGACGAGCTGTCACAGATGCAGGGAGCTGAGCCCTCTGGGGAGCTCAGCTCATGGCTGCCTTGGGGCTTTAGGGGAATGCAGGACAGCCCCCCACGCGCCACGCTGCCGGCGTCCCAGTGCTCCTCTGATGAGCAGAAAGCCAAGGCCAGGCTCCAGTCCCTGCCATGCTCTGCAAGCGCTGCTGAGGTGCAGTGCCCCCTTCCCAGGGAGCGTGGGGTGCAGCGCCCAGTCTCAGAGCTGGCTGCCTCGCCAGGGAGGAGAGCCTACAACAACAGACTAGACCAGGGTGTTCACACAGCCAGCCATCTGGAGCCACCTTCCCCACATTCCAGCTCCAGCCCCTGGGGCCTGGTTCCAGGGGACTGAGCACCCACAGCTCCCTGTGCAGCCATCGGGCACGGCACCTGCAGGCCCCAGGCAGCTCGAGTTGGGCTGCTCAAAACAGAGCTGCCAGAGGCTCCTGGAAATGTGGCCCAGGGCCTGTACGAGTGTTTGACTCCTCGGACGTAGGTCAGGAGCAGCCGGTGTGTGAGAAAACGCATGGAACGGACACAGCCCACCTGAGCTCCACTGGGGGGGGGGTGTACACACGTGCCCCCACACCTGCGCCCTCTGTGCGCACACACATGTGCCCCCGGCCATGTGCGCGTAGGCTCCTGCCTGCTCTGCTACTGAGCGAGGGACCCAGAAGCAGACAAGGGGAAAGAGGCCAGGTCTGTCTGGGCGGATGGAGTGTGCTCTGCAAAGGAGGCAGGCCCTGCTGTCCACCCCAGTGTGGCATTCAAAGGGTCTGAAGGATGAGGAACCAGCTGAGCTTTCAGGGGTCGAGGGCCGATTTCCAGCTGAGCTCACCCGCTGTGTGGCCAGGTCCTGCAGCTGGGGGCATTGGAAAGCCAGCTGAGACTCCCCGGCCTGGCTGCTGCCTGGCATCCTGGGCTGGCCCCAGGCAGTTTCCTTGGGGATAATCTCTAGGAGTTGATAGCCAGGATGGAGCCTTGCTTGAGACAGACAGGCCCGGGCAGCTCTTTTCTGGCTAATGATTGCTCAGGGCTGGTCTGAGCTAACTCCAGCTTTGCGAGGCAGGCTGAGAATGCACTGGGGGGGTCTCCTAGCCCCTCTGTCCTATGCCTGCAGATGGCTGCAGGCCCTGGCTTTCCAGGAGCTGCTGCGCTAGAGGAATGTCTCATTGCCAGGGCATCGCAAACTCCCCACTCAGCAATGCAATGGCTCCTGGAGGCTCTTTGCATACTGTTGACACAAGAGCAGCCCTCCCCCTCTCCCCACTCAGCCAGAGCCATGGGGCTGGGCATTCAGAGCTCCCTGGGCTGGCTCCCCCTCGCCGGCTCTCTGGCCTGCCGAGCTGCAGCTGCTGCTCTGCAAGGAGCTCGGTGTCTTTGTCCTGCATGCGAGACCCTTGGGATGAGCGCGGGGTTGCTCCAGACAAGGTGAGGGGCTGCTCGCTCCATGTCCGAGGGGTCTCGGAGCTGTGAGGGGCTTGGAGGGCCGAGCTTCGCACTGGCTGACTGCGCAGACCTGAGTCCATCTGCTCACCCATCCCTTGCTCCGCTTTGTGAGCAGTCTCGCTGCCCGCCAGTTCCACCCAGTCCTTTCCCACCGCCTCATGGCAGCAGAGCTCTGGGGCTGGCTTTCTTCTCTGGCCCATTTCTCTGCCTGTCGGGCTGGCCGGTGGGCGACTGGGTTCCTGCTAGCGAATGCAGCTCCTGCAGGCTCTGGTCACGTGTAGCCAGTGTCCCAGGGCACTGGGCTGCAGCTGCAACCCCCTTCCCAGAGCCCTTGGGATCATGTCAGCCCTGCTGTCTCGGGGCTGGTGGGCTCTGAGCACCGTCAGCCAGGGTGTCGCTCGGGCGGCACCTGGACGGCACAGGAGCCTGCTGCAGCCGTCCTGCTCCAAGACTAGCAAGGCCCTGCTGTGGGTTGGGGAGGGATTGGGGCAGCCCTGGGGCTTTGTGCACTGCGCCCTCTGCCTGGCAGGCTGAGCTGCCGCCCGCCTCCTTCACCTGCTGCTGGGGGGTTCCTGGGTCGCCGAGGTGTGGGCAGCCCTGGCCCCTGCACGGGGCTGTTGGTGTGATTCTCCCCGATCTCAATGCGGCGTCTCTCTCTGATTGGAATTCCAGGCCCCGGGACGGAAGCGGAAGAACATGAACGAGTTTCTGGGCGATTCCAGCATCCCAGGCCAGGACCCCCTGCAGCACTTCAGCTGCTCCCTGCCCAGCAACGGCATCGATACGTGGAAGAATCGGGCCGCCAGTCGCTTCAGTGGCTTCTTTGGCTCCGGCGCTAGCACTGGCCCCTTCGGACGGGTACGTCAGCTGCTCGGCACCAGGCTCGGGCCTGTCCCTGCTCCCAGGGGCTCTTGGGCTCCCAAATTTCTGCTGTTGACTGGAATTAGGAGCAGCACCTCCCGCATGGGCTCTGCGGGCTGCCATGGGGGGTTCTTCGCCCAGGGAGGAGTTCCTGGGCGCCAGGTTCTGCAGGACAGAGCCGTGGGCTGTTGGGGGGATGCCGCTGACCACTCCTGTGCAGGTGTGGCCTGTGTCCACGCACTTTGCTGGGCGCTGGGTTAGTTTGGAGCAGGAGGTCAGAGGTTGCTGAAGTTGGCAGAAATGGGCCTAACCCAGGCGTCCTTGCCAGTGTCCAGAGCTGGCGGCAGGCACCACCTGGACAAGCCGCTTGGTGGGATTCTTTGGCTGCTCTCAGCCCAGCTAAGGAGACCTATGCAGAGCGGGACCTGCCTGGCTTTGGAAAGGGGGTGGAGTGGGGTCCGGAGCCCACCAGGAACTGCTCTGAGAGCTCGCTGCTGCTGGATGCAGGCAGACAGGCTGCTACTGAGCCAGGCACAGCTGGGGAGGGAGTGGCAACCGCCCGTCTGCCTCGGCTCCCCGTGCCCTTTGTCCTCTCTGTGCCCTTCAGCCCCAGGGCTGGATTGAGGAGGCTCCCGCAAGTGCCCACTGTGAGTCACTCAGGTCTTCTGCAGGGGCCTGCCGCTGCCTGGCCTGGGGCTCCTTGCCGAGCGTCCTGGCACGCGGCCCAGTAATGGCCAAGGGCCGGGAATCCCCTGTGCAGCGCGCCGCCCGCTAGCCTCCATTCCCGCCTGGCCCGGCGGGCGCTGGGCTGGCGCAGGCTCTCAGCCCCTCGGGGGGACGGATTCTCTGAGCGGGAAGCTGGGGCTGTGAGCTCCTGAGCGGGCAGCGCTGGCAATGGGAGAGGGACCCTCCGATTGGAAGAAACCCCCTGGCCCACCGCTGTGCTCCTGTGCGCTAGGAGATGGACAAGATGGAGCAGCTGGAGAGCAAGCTGCACAGCTATAGCATCTTCGGCCTCCCCAAGCTCCCCCAGCAGCTCCGCTTCGACCAGGACTCCTGGGAGGAAGAGGAGGATGACACCAGCCTGTGCCTGGAAGACAGCTGGCAGGAGATCACCGAGGGCACGGAGGTAATGCTGGGCTGTGGTGGGGAGGGGGCTCTGACTGGTGCAGAACATCCCTGCTGGGGGCCTGGGGTGAGATTTCCCAGAGCAACTCTCACACAGCCACACTGCTCCTGTTACCCCCCACGCTCCCCCATGGGCTGCTGGTCGGGGCCCACTGCTCCTGTTACCCCCCACACCCCCCCCATGGGCTGCTGGCCGGGGCCCACTGCTCCTGTTACCCCCCACGGCCCCCCCATGGGCTGCTGGCCGGAGCCCACTGCTCCTGATACCCCCCACACACCCCCATGGGCTACTGGCCGGGGCCCACTGCTCCTATACACTCCCAGGTGGCCAGGCAGCGGGGGGCTGGATCTCCCCCCAAACACATTTCAGGGCCTTGGCCTCTTTCCCCCATCTGGGATGTTGCCCTGTGGGACTGGGATTCCACTGGGCCCATGAGACGGGGCCTCTCCTCGCATCCTGGCTGCTCGTGCGCGGGAGACGATTGCAGGCCGGAGGCTCACTCCCTGTCCGTCCTGCTCTCGGTGGGAACATCGCACTGTGTCGAGGGGTCTCAGCACCCCGGCCCCCACAGCCCCATGGCGCTGACCCTTCTGCCCTTCGCCAGGCCCTGACGCGCCGGCAGTGCCACCAGCAGGAGGCCGTCTGGGAGCTGCTGCACACAGAAGCCACCTACATCCGGAAGCTGAAAGTGATCACGGACGTGAGTCTGCCCTGCCCGCCCCGGGGTCCTGGGAACGGGCAGAGCCAGGCTTCTGCCAGGTCCTTGTGGGGGGCACGACGGGTGTTAGGCCAGTGACTCCTGGAGGGCAGGAGACTGTGACGTGCCCTTCCGGGGCAGAGGGTTGAGCCAAGGCAGTTAGTTTATTCTGTGCGCTGCGCTCACCAGTGCAGCATCTGAGAGCCCCTGGCTGGCTGGGTCTGAGCCGTGCCCGGCTGTCAGCTTGCAGCCACAGCCCGGAGCCAGGCTGGGTCTGACTGGCGTCCGTCATGGCCTGCGCGCCATGCAGCCTCCGGCCCCCAGTGGGGAGGGACACCCTGGTGGGGCATGGGCGTGCGCGGAGGGAGGGTCGGACGTGCTCTGCACTGCCTGCTCTCTGCTCTCTTTGCAGCTCTTCCTCTGCTGCCTGCTGAACCTGCAGGAGTCAGGGCTGCTGTGTGAGGTAAGGGCCCAGCTACCCGTGGGGCTGGGGGGCGGCAAGTCCATCAGCGCCTGCAGGGTCCTCGCAGGCATAAGCCAGCCCCAGCCTCTGCCCCTCCCTCTGGGCCAGTGAGGGCCCCCAGGCGGCCGGGAGGAGCTCCCTGGGCGGCCCCGCCCCATGATGGGAGGAGTTCCCTGGGCAGCCCCACCCTGCTGTCGGACTGGGGCTGAGCCCTAGAGTGGAAAGTGTCATGTGGCGAGGATGGGAGGCTCTCGGGGCTGCAGCAGAGACACAGGGACCCCCCTGCCCGTTAATGGGAGGAATTGGCCCTCTGGACCCTGGACCAGCAGCTTTGCTCGAGCTAATGGACAGTCCTGGAGCTGCGCTTGTCGCCTGGCCTCACACCCACCGCGGGGCGCGGGGCGACGGCGTGCCCAGCGCCTCGTGCAGCGAGCCCGTCTCCGCCTGGCAGGGCAATGCGGGCTGTGCTGCTCTGAGCAGCCGTCTCACCCTCCGGGTCAGGGGATCCCAGCGCTGACACGGGGATCCCAGCGCCACTGTCTGGCAAACCCTACCTCTGCGGCCAGGGCATCCCCAGAGCCCCACTGCACCCCTTGCTGTGCTTGCAGGTGGAAGCTGAGCGTCTGTTCAGCAACATCCAGGAGATTATCCAGCTGCACCGGGCCCTGTGGAGCGGCGTCATGGCCCCTGTCCTGGAGAAGGCCAGGAAGACCAAGGCGCTGCTGGACCCTGTGGACTTCCTAAAGGGATTCAAAATGGTGGGTGTGAGAGCCCAGGTGCCGCTCGCTCTGCCACGGCTGCGCCTGGCAGGGAGACGCGCTGGGCTCTGACTGGCCCTCTGGCTTGCCTTGCAGTTTGGCTCCCTCTTCAAGCCCTACGTCCAGTACTGCATGGAGGAGGAGGGCTGCATGGAGTACATGCGCACGCTGCTGCGGGACAACGACCTCTTCCGGCTCTACGTGACGGTAAGGCCTGGAGCCAGGCACACGCGTCGTGGCGAGACCAGGCCGCCCCCGAGTCGCTAACCCACCTGTGTCTCTGCTTCCAGTGGGCAGAGAAGCACAAGCAGTGCAACCGCCTGAAGCTCAGCGACATGCTGGTGAAGCCGCACCAGCGCCTCACCAAGTACCCGCTGCTGCTCAAGTCGGTGCTGAAGAAAACGGACGACCCTTGCACCCGGGACGCCATCATCACCATGGTAACCTGCCAGGGAGCGCGGGTGGATGGGCCATGCCTCCCCGGCCAAGTCAGCGGCAGAGGGCATGCAGCCTGTGTCACTGCCGTGCCTTGGTGCTGGCAGCGGGCTCCCGTGTGCCCTTTCCCCAGGGCCGGGGTGGATGCTGCACAACGTGTGAATTTGCCCAAGCAGCCGGGTCCCCATTCTGCAGCCAGTGCTGACTGTGCCTGGCAGGGTCGTCCTGCCTCCGCAGGGCTCCTCGTCAAGCCTGCTGGACCAGGGCATGGGGCACAGGGTATGGGGCAGGGCTCCTCGTCACGCCTGCTGCGCCAGGGGCTTCCAGCCACCAGTTTCCCCTATGCGCCTCTGACCGTTCCCCTTGTGACAGATCAGTTCCGTGGAGCGGTTTATCAACCATGTGAACTCGCGGATGCGCCAGCGGCAGGAGCAGCAGAGGCTGGTGGCCATCCTCAGCCGGATTGACTCCTACGAAGTGGTGGACGGCAGCACGGAGGAGGTGGATAAGGTATGGGCTGTGTGGACAGGGGGCGTGCGGGCCGGGCTGGCCCCTGCCCCGCACCCCCTGACTGCGTCCTTTCTCTCTTGCTGGCAGCTCCTGAAGGAGTTCCTGCACCTGGACCTGACGGCCCCCATCCCAGGCACCTCCCCTGAGGACACGCGGCAGCTCCTCCTGGAGGGGAGCTTGAAAATGAAGGAAGGTAAAGACAGCAAGGTGAGCAGTGCAGCCTGAGCGGAGCTCCCAAGCAGCCCTGGGGCCGGCCTGGCAATGACCTCAGCCAGGGCTTCCTTTGCCTGCCGAGCTGCGGGTGGAGGGTGCAGCGGGTGTCCGCCCTGGCTCTGCTCGCGTCCCCGCCCAGGAGCAGGCTGGCCCTGGGAACCGCCCTCTGTGGGCATGGCTCGGTAACAGGACTCCCGGCGGCGCCCCTGCCCCGGCGCCGGGCTGCTCGGCAGGATCCCATGGGCCCTGTGCTCTCGCCCTCCCCAGATGGACGTTTACTGCTTCCTCTTCACGGACCTGTTCCTCATCACCAAGCCGGTGAAGAAGGCCGAGCGCACCAAGGTCATCCGGCAGCCCCTGCTCGTGGACAAGATCATCTGCCGGGAGCTCAAGGACCCCGGTGAGCACGCAGGGCTGGGATCCGAGAGCTGGGCATTGGCTGTGCAGAGCCCCTGGGCTCCTCTCCTCAGAGCCTGCCCCACGGCCCCTCCTCTCCCCTAGCCCCTCGCAGCCCCTTCGACCTGGAGGAGCTTCCTCTCTCTATCCTTCCCCTGCCCTGAATCTCGCTCCCAGCTGGCAGACTGAGGCGGCCAAGGCACAGGGCTCTCCCTGCGTCCCTACAGGGACTGACCCCCAAGTGCTCCCAGCCCCAGGGACCCCAGGGCCTCTGTGGCACCCACAGTGTGGGGAGCGAATGGCTCAGCTCCTGCCCTTCATGTCTGGGCTGTTACAGGCTGGGGATCACCGGATGGGACAGCCACCCTCCTCCTCAGGGGAATCACCCAGGGTTTCCCTCAGCACCACTAGCCTCCACCTCTGCGCCCTGCCCTCCTGCAGCGTGACAGCACCGACGCCCCGGGGGCTCTGGCGCCGACAGATGCTGCAGCGTGATTTGTCCCTGGGCACTAGGCCCCTTCTGACTACGCATGGCCGAGCCCTGAGCCCCTGCTCACTCTGCAGCTCTGGTGCCATCCCAGCCTTGTCTGGAGAGCTGGCGTGTCTCCTTGCTTCCCTGCGCTGGACACTCACCGTGTCTGCGGGAACTCGCCCGGGCCGGTGGGAGGTGCTTTTGCTCATGTTTGGTCCCCCTTGCAGGCTCCTTCCTCCTGATCTATCTCAACGAGCTTCGCAGCGCTGTGGGAGCCTACACCTTCCAGGCCAGCGGGCAATCCCTGTGCCGCGGCTGGATCGAGGCACTGTACAATGCACAGGTGAGTCTGGAGCAAACAGGCCTTGGGATCCAGTGTCTGAGCTGAGCCACTGCAGCCTCCCTGACCTGAGAGGCTGTGGGCGTTTCATCTGGTGCAGGCACCAGCGTGGGGTTTCCAACAGCAGCTCGGAGCACGTGCCCTTCTCTGAGATGGGGCCAGACAAAGGCCTGCCCTGTGCAGAGCTGCAGAGCGACTGGGTGCACACGGGACACAGGCAGCCCGACCACTGCCAAGGTGTCACCTCTCTGCCCCCAGGGTGACATCGTCCCCAGGAGCATTCGAAGTGCCGTCACTCCCGGGCATCCGTTATCTCGCTGTAATCTCACCGCTAGGATCAGTGCCACATGTTGTCGTGCCCTGCAGGGAATCTCCCTTCCCCACCCCGGGGCTGCCAATGGCAGTGCTGTGTCTCTGCTCCTCAGCCCGCAGACCCGTGTGGGCGAGGGCAGCATGTCTCAGGCTGTGTGCATGCCGCAGGGAACCGGGCCCACTGCCAGGGCAGTGCCAGGTGCGCACACAGCCCCTGATCTGGTCTGGGATGGGGATCGGCGCCCCATCTGGGAGCTGTCCTGTCCTGACAGCTGTGAGTTGGGGACGGCCATGTTCTCCTGTTCCTAAGCTGTGTCCTGCCCCTTCCCCACAGAACCTCCTGCAGCGGCTGCGTCTCCAGGAGCGGCAGCGTAGCCAGCGGCAGCATCTGCAGAGCCTGGAGGAGGGCGAGGATGGGGAGAGCGGGACCTCGGCAGCCAGCTCGCCCACCATCCTGCGCAGGAGCTGCAACAGCCTGGACTCCCAGCAATGGTACAACACCCCCCCACCCCCACCCCAGGACTCAAGGGCCGCTCGCAGTGCGGGACAGGGGAGACTGTCCAGCCGGCAGAGGCAGCGTGCCAGGCGCTGTACGGCCCTGCAGGAGAAGCCTGGCACCTCGTGCCATCATGGCTCCAAGCACTCACCATGCCCAATGCTGGCCACTCCCCTCGCTCCTGCCCTGCTCCAGCGTGCCCCAGCCTGGTGCCAGCCGTCCCTCCCAGCCCCCATCCCTGGCTGACTTTCCCCTTGCTCTTGCAGCCCCTCCGATGGCTCCACGGAGACCATCTCGGTGGTGGTGGTGGATGCCAGCGAGGAGCTCTCCTTCCCGGACTTGGAAGTGGGGCCATTCAGCTCGCAGTCGGACGAGACCTCCATCAGCACCACCGCTTCGTCCACCACCCCCACCCGGGAGCTGCTGGAGGGGGGCGGGGAGCTTGCAGAGACACACACACCCCCCAGCTCCAATTGCCTGACGCTGGATTCCAGCGGCTGCAGATCGGCGTCCATCGACAGCGCCTATGGCACCCTCTCCCCCACCTCCATCCAGGAGTTTGCTGAGGCGCAGCAGCTGGAGCCAGGGGCGGAGGATGGGGGGCCCCCGCACTTGCAGCGTGCCCCCTCGCCCAAGCTGCGCCGCAGGACGCCCGTGCAGCTCCTGCCCTGCAAGGTGAAAGCGCTCAAGTCCAAGTCGGAGGCCAGCCTGCTGCAGCTGATCCCAGCCTCGCCCCCTCTCGCCCAGAGCAAGAGCCTCTGTGACCTCTTCACAGCTCCGGGCCAGGCCACGTTCCTGGCAGGCCCCAGCCAAGGACTTGCACGGCGCGAGGTCCCAGCTGGCTTCCAGAGGACTAGCAGGGCGGGTGCCGGGAGCGGGGAAACCCGGTCAGACTGCAGTAGCCTCGGCCTGAGCATCTGCAGCAGCAGCAGCGGCTCCTCATCAGAGTTCTCCGAGCCCGAGGAGCTGATGTGTGCCAAGGGCTTTGCTTACCCAGCTGAGAGCAACGTGACGTCCCCTGCTGCGCCTGGGCAGGAAGCTCCCCCAGCAGGGCCTGAGGGGGCATCTGCCCCGTGCCGGGCTCCCAGCACCGCCGTGACTGAGCCCCTTGCCCACCAGACACTGTCAGACCCGCAGGCGGCCCAGCACCGCAAGCTGACACTGGCTCAGCTGTACAGGATCAGGACCACCTTGCTCCTCAACTCCACGCTGACCGCCTCGTAAGTGTCACGGGGCTCGCTCAGGCTAGCCAGGGCGGGTGCGTGGGGGGAGCCACGGGCCTCCTTGCACAGTCACAAGGACGCTTCCCCTCTCTCAGCCGGGCTGCAGCCAGCTGGCGCCAGCAGCCCGGGGGCTGGGCCGCTGCAGATCTCCCTCACCCACGTGGCAGGGCACGGGCGTGGGGCAAAGTCCGGGTTTTCCCATCGATCTCCTTCCCTGAGTGGCAGCCCCATGGCTCAGCATATCTAAGATCAGCTCCCTGTGGTGGGCGGGAGGTGCCCTGGGCTGTGAGCAGCCGGCTAAGAGCGCCTCTGTCTGTCTGCCTGTCTCTTGCAGGGAGGTCTGAGAGCTGCAGGAGGCTCCAGGAGAGGAGCGGTGCTGCCAGTTCCGCCAACCCCTGACGGTGGAGCACGAGCGCCCAGGGCCCTGGGAGATGTTAGGCCCCGAAGCAGCGGCCAGCAGCGTGTCAAGGCTGCGTGTGGGTGGGAGAGAGACAGGGCGCAGGCGTGTGGACAGAGGGACGGGGGGTGCATGTGCCGGTGCATGTCTCTGTGGGGAGTGTGCACATGTGCGTGTGTGTGGGGGGAGTGTGTGCGTGGGGGGGGGTGTGTGCGCGCGTGTGAGGAGTGTGTGTGCATGAGCATGTGGGGCGTGCGTGTGCGTCTGTGAGAGTTTGTGCGTGTGCGTGGGGAGTGTGTGTGCATGAGCGTGTGGGGCGTGTGTGTGCGTCTGTGGGAGTTTGTGCGTGTACGTGTGGGGCGTGTGTGTCTGTGGGAGTTTGTGCGTGTGCGTCTGTGGGAGTGTAGGTGTGTATGGGGCGTGTTGGGGCGTGTGTGCGCGTCTGTGGGACGTGTGTGCGTGTGGGACGTGTGGGGCGTGCGTGTGCATCTGTGGGAGTGTGGCTGTGCCTGGGACAGACTCCAGGGAGCCGTGGCCTGGGTTCCTCGTGGAAGGGGGCTGCGCTGGTGCTGGCCCGGGAGCCTGTCCTAGGCCGGGGCGGGCCCGGAGCTGCTCCTTTGCACCGTGAGTCCCGGGTGCCGCTGCATTGGAGCCCCTGCAGCTGTGCCTGAGAACTCTGGAGCCGAGGCCGGGCTGAGGGCGCCCCCTACAGGACCTGTTTCTCAGCTGTCACTTGCTGTAGCAGAGCCCCACAGTTGGGGCTGCCGGCCTGGGCGGTGCTCGGAGAGTTCCTGACAGTCAGTGAGCAGTGACCAAATGCTGCCACCTTGTCCTCGGAGAGCCCTGGTCCAGAGGGCTCTGCTGGACTTCTGAACTTGCCCGTCCTGCCGCAGGCCTGCTGACAACCCCACTCCCCAGGGTCCGGCAGTGCAGGCTGGGGCTTGTGAGCTGGGCGTGACTGCAGCCTTCCATGCACCGCTGGCCTGTTGCAGTGGGGGAGACACACAAGCCTGCGTCCCATGCTGCCACATTGCGTCAGGTTGAGCAAAAGCCAAAACACTGCAGCAAAGACCGGGGCCTCCCGCCTGGCTGGGACCCCATTGTCGAGCTTCCCACTTCTCTGTGAACTGTCTATCGCAAGGGCTGCAGGGTGACCCCAGGCCCAGGAGCAGGGGGTTCTGAGTGCACTTTAGTTGTGGTAAGCTGCATTTCCAGTGCAGCCGGAAGGAAAGGGGCAGAGGGGAATAGCCAGAGCTTTTCCCCTTCCGCTAAGCTCACATGCCATTGCCGGTCTGCGGCCTGGCCGCCCTGGGAGCTCTCCCAAGGATGGCAGCTGTGTCCTGAAGGGGGTTGTGCTGCAGGAGCCAGGAGCAAAAGCCCCTTTAAATTCCATCCCCTGTGACCGTCCCACGAGAACGCGAGCGCTTGCACTGCAGCAAAGAGCTAGACCAGGGCAGCCCCTGCCCACCGCCAGCCACCACGGCTGCTCGGTCGGCTCCCCGCTGGGGTGAGTTGCTTCTCCCTGCTTGACCAAAGCCCCCCAAATGTGGTTTTCCCCTGAGGCTAACGCCCCGGGGGACGGCATTGTTACCGAGGCAGTGGGCTGGGTGACTCAGGCACTGGCACCAGGAAGTTGCGATGGGCTTACTGAGGAAGGGATCGAAATGTTGCAGTGCGTGAAGAGGGACGAGGGCTACAGTGAGCGGCACGGGCAACGGGGCGCTACCATAGACGCTGCGCCCCGCTGGCCATGGGCGTGGCAGGGGCTAGGAAGGCAGGGGAAGCCGGGGCAGGCCGGGGAGCGGGGGTGATGTCAGACTGGGGAGGGGCATGGCTGGATCCATCAGCACCACAGCTCCCAGCTCCAGCTGCCTGCTCCCAGCCTCGCCTTTCGGTGGGAAGGAAAGGCTGGGAGCAGCCTGGGGGCTGGGCCGCAGGGTCCCGCTCCTGCTGGCTGCCCAGCTCGGCTGAGGGTGCGCTGCTGCTGCAGGGGTGGGGCTCCCCACATCCTGGGGGGCTGGGTCCTCCGAGCAGCCTGCGGCTGTTACAGGGAACCCCAGGCAAGCAGGAAGGGCTGTGTATGGGGTGGCTAGCATGGAGGTGTGGGGAGAGACCAAAGGAGCCTGTGGGGAACGGGGAGCCACGGAGGGCCCTGCGCTGAATAGTGTTCCCGCGGGTGGGAAGGGAGCGTTGGACCTGGCCAGTGCACACGGTGCTGGGGAGGGGGCATTGCCATGGGGGCCTTGCGTAGGCCTCACTCAGACCCCTGCCTCGGGGCACCGCTTTGGCCCCCAGAGCTGGTCTCTGGAGCGGCAGCAGGAGGCTTGTGCAGCGAGCGCTCACCCAGCTCTTACCCCAACGCTTCCCACTGCAGCCCAGGGAGGGGGCCCACTTCTCCTTCCTGGCTGGGCTCCCTGCACTAAGCCCTGGCCCTCTGCGGCTGGGGCCAGGACTGCCTGGATGGCAGAGGGCAGGGCACTGCTGGCCTCGGTGGAGTTCGTTACACTTGGCTGCCAGCAGGCAGTGGAGGCTGCAGCAGAACGGCAGCAGAGGGTGGGAAGGGACATGGGGCTGGGTGGCAGATTGCTCTGCCCGTCTGTCCCAGCCCCCGGGCACGCGCGCTCACCCCTGGATGTGTGTAGATAAAGTTGCATATTTATTAAGCTTGGTGTTAATTTTCTGAAGCTGCGTCCTGGCTGGCCTGCGGCAGGGAAGCAGCGCTGCCTCCTTTTCCGGCTGTCCTGGGGGGTGCAGGGCAGGAGTTCTCTCTTGGCTCTGGGGCTAGTCCATCTTGTGCTTTGAACATTATCCCTGCGCTGTGCCGTTCCCACCGCCGCAGCCTCCCGGGCGAAGCATTAAAGACCGTGCGTGTGCGCTCAGTCGTCGTGTGTCCTTTAACAAGGGTGGGAATGCGTTGGGAACTGGCAGTTACTCGGTCCCTGGGCTTCCGGGGGCTCAGGTGGCTGGCTGTGTTCTGGGGCCATGCAAAGCACTACACTGCCCCAGTCCAGCTCAGAGCGGCCGACCTGGCCCCCTAGGAAACCAGAGCAGCCATTGCATGTGCCCTTCAGCCCTGCCCCTCACATGGGGTGAGGTGCAGTCTTGTGCCAGCCCCGTACCCTCTGTGAGAAAGGGTCTCGGCATGGCTAGAATCCAGCCCCTGCTATTTCGGGCACGCCGGCTCCAGAACAGCAGGCATTGCGCTTCCTGGGTCCAGTGCGGGCTGGGAGGTGGCAGAGCTGGGGTTAGGCACCATGGGGCAGGCAGGCAGGCGGGGGGTCCAGTTCCAGCCATTCTCCCATGAGCCTTTGTGCTTTTCCCTGGTGCTAGGCCCAAGGAGCAGAAACGGGGGTGGGGCGGCTTGTAGGTAGTACCAGCTTGGCCTGTGATGCTGGGGGTCAGCCTGGCTCACCTGCTGTAGGAGAAAGCCCCTCACTGCTCTGCTCCCAGGTGCCAGCCTCAGGTGTGATTTGACTTCTATACTTGGGGTGGGGGCAGCAGCACCACCCAGGCCAACTGGGCCGTGCGTGGGGGGGGGGAATTCCAGCCTGCCCAAGGCTTGCCGTGGGGGGGAGGGGCAATGCCCCTGCCCCCCAAACTACACCCATGGTGCCAGCGTCCATGGCAAGAGGCTAGGTGTGAACGCATGGCGGCTGCTTCTCTCCAGTCCGCATGGTAGCCCGGGGCCAGGGCTCTGGGCTGACGGACTAGGAAACAAGGCAGGCTGATAAAACGGCCGGGTCCTTTGGTAGAGTCTCCCCTTCCCTGGCTTCGTGGCAGCATGAGCCCCTTGCCAGGGCAGTGGCAGGGCAGCTGTGGTTGTGCTGGCCTGGGGGGCTTAATGGCTTCCTGGGAAAGCTCCCAGCCCTCATGTGAGGCCCCATCCCCCACCTGAAAATTGGGGTTTCAGCTCAACCCCTTTGTGACATGTTCCTCCATGCCGCAGAAAGTGCCAAGTTTCCAGCCAAAAATGGGTCCCAGAGCCCTCCCCGGCCATCGCTGGTGAGGGCAGGCAGGCAGAGGCTGGCGTGCTAGGACCCGGGCCAGGCCTTGGAGAGCAAAGCCACAGGTGGGAGATGGCTGGGCCCTGGCCCCACCTTGGGTTGGGGCGCAGGGAACCAGGGGGAGGGTCTTGGCCAGGGCTGCAGGCTGGAGCCCTGGGCTGAGGGGTAGCGTTCGGGTGCATTCGCTGCCCACTGCTGGGGACGGAGCTGCCCCTTCACAGCCCCAAGGGAAGGTGTCCGTAGGCGCTCTGGGAATCGCTGTGTGGGTGCTGGGGCTGGCTGGGCTGCGCCTGCCCTGGAGCTCAGACTGCAGCTGGGCGCTTTGGGCTGTGAGATGTTTAGCTGCCGCCTGGCAGCACTTGTCCTGGCGAGGCAGGTTGCAGGAGAGCCCCAGGCCGGCCCTGCTGGGTCAAGGCTCTGGGCCTGGGACTCACCTGCTGTGGGACATGTTGGACGAGGCTGGCTCCTGGTAGGAGCACCAGCCCTCTGCAGGAGTGCTGCCCCTCACCCCGCCCGACTGCTTCCATGCCAGCGAGGCCCCTCCCCACGCTCGCGCCGCCCTCGGCGGCTGTCGTGGTTTTACACCCCCTGGACTCATTTCCAGAAATGGATTTCCTCCCACAAGGGCTTATGTGTAAAAGCCTCAGCTGAGCGGGTTTGAGCTCACTCGTCGCCAGGGGGTTACTGAGAGCATGGATTAGCTGCTGCCTCGCTCTGCTGCTGGGCTGTGACCAGCTCCCGCGAGTGACCCCCGTACCCCGCCCGGTATGAGCTGGCTCTCTAGGGCTCGAGGATGGGGAGCTGGGCCCTGAAGGTGGCTGGGGTAAGTTCTGTCACTCCGGGATGTTCCTCACTTGCTCTAGAGTGAAAGAGGAAGCACCCAGGGCTGGTGCAGACTTGCTCTGGGGAGCTGGGGGGAAGTAGGAGAGGCCAGGAGATCTGGCTGGGGATGAGGGCCAGCTCTCTGCATTGGTTCGTTTGTTGCCTACAGGCCAAAATCTGGTTTCTGTGGCTGAGCTGCTGCTTGGTATTGTAGGGGTGAGGGACCCAGTCAGCGGACTCCTGATGCCCCCCA